ATACATTGGCTGTTGAGCTACTAAGACTGGGCTGGTTTAAAGAAAGCCTTTTCCATGTGCTGATTCGGCAGTTACACATTAAGTGACCAAACATCATTTTACTCCTGCTGCATTTAATCCCAACTGATTCTACTTTTGGTAATTTATGTAGCCACAACCACCTTCGGCAAGGTGGTGAGGTGATTATTTTGAAACATTTCACTACTTTGACACAGATCTGTTGATACGTCAACCAAATTTAATATACTCTTTGCTAGTTGCGACACCAACATATTAAATGGACAAGAATCGTATGATTTACAGTTGCATTTGAGATGAAATTATTCCTATTTTAATAATTTTATGTAGTGGCAACCTCTTTTGGTAAGTTGGCAAAACAACTATTTCCATCATTTTCATATTTTGACACATTTGTTAAAACTATTGATAGTAACAGTGCCACTACTTTGACACACAAGTCAGTTGATACGTCAACCCAACTTAATAAACACCTTACTAGTTGCGCTCCCAGCACATTAATTATCCAAGAATCACATGAATTACAGTTGTATCCAAGACAAAATTATTCTTATTTTGGTGATTTTATATAGTACCTGGGTTGACGACCACTTCCAGGAGTAGTTTCAGTTTGGTTAAAGCACTACAATATGCTCACTTTGACCGAGGTTATGGCAACCGTTCCACTGCAGGGAAGTTAGTACATGGAAATGCTTTTGCTACATTTTAAGTTAAAAGGCACATTGCTTCGATAGTACCGAGTGGACAATTAAGAAGAGATCGGTAACCTATGCCTTTCATCAGATTTCCTGGCACCATCATTCTATTAAGTGTTTGCTTTGCGTTTATTCCACAACGTTTACGCCTCGCATCGATAGTGGACAATAGGTGAATCAGTTCTTATGCCTACCCAACTTAACAAATACATTGGCTGTTGAGCTACCAAGGCTAGGCCAGTCTAAGGCATGCCTATTCCATGTGTGAATTCGGGAGGTACACATGAAGTAGCCAAGCATTGCATAAAATGTACTTGTATTCACTCTAAGTTTATTCACATTTTGATAATTTTATGCAGCCACAGCCTCTTCCAGTAAGTTGGCAAAGTCACTATTCTGATATATTCCACTATTTTGACACATTTGCTCATGCCAGTAAATGAGCATGTCTACTATGATATATCACTAGCTACTATCTCTACCTATTTCTATATTCCAGGCCCTGAGGTGACGCACACCACCACGAGTGAGTACATGGAATCACTTTTGCTTAATTCTAGGTTTGAAGACCCACATTATTCATCCAAGCATTACATGTATATCCCGATGCATTCAGTCTAAACTTATTCTTGTTATGATAATTTTATGCAGCCACAACCTCTTCAGGTGAGTTGGTAAAGCGAATATTTTGATCGTTTTTACTGATTCGACACATTTGCTAAAACCAGTAAATGTATTTATCAACGTCGGCATAACGCCTGGTTTTACTTTCTCTGCGTACTTCCATCTTCTAGATTCAGGGGTGACATCCAATTTCATGAGCAAATTGTTTTATTTTGATTGTGTCAGTCAATTTTACAATATTTTTCCAGTGACAATATGAACCTCAAGTGCCTTCACTAAATAAGTGAATTTTTAACTTAAAGCCCTACAATTCACTCACCGTATCAGAGACTATGGCAGCTGCTCCGCTGCAGAGAGGGTAGCGCTGATAAATAACTATTGCTACATTTTTATTTGGAAGGTACACATTAAGCAGCCAAGCATCACGCACGCTGTCTTTGCATTTAACCTAACCTGATTCACATTTTGATAATTTATGCAGCCACAACCTCTTCTGATAAGCTGGTATAGCGACTACTTTGATCCGTTTCACTATTTTGCGACCTTTGTTCATGCCAGTAGATGTGCTCATCTACCATGAAATAGCACTTTAAATAAATTCTCTGCATTTTCTCCTATCCTAGGTCTTGAGGTAACGTACACCTCCACGAGTGAGTTGTTTTATTTTGGTTATTTTAGTCTACTTTGCACGTGGCCCAAGTTTCCTGGGCAAAATGATTCCTATGATAATATGAACTCCCGGTGCTTATACTAATTGAATAATTTATCAACCTGAGACACCACCATTTACTTTATTCCTGTGATTACGGTAACTGTTATAATACAGAAGAGTTATCACTTTCATTAGTTTTCGCTGCAGCTTATTCAGTTTTCTGACTTTCTCTATAAAGGTCTTGCGCTATTTGAATGCAAGATCTTAAATTAGGCATTTCTGTGTATAATGATAATAAAAAAACTACGCAGTCCTGCTTTCAACATGTTTTGCTCCCTATCCTCATGCATTGGTTTTTCTTTTAGTTGTGACTATACTGCTGTCAATGCTGATGCTTTTGAAAACGCTAGCCAGTTGATCCAATGAGCAAACGAGCGCAACGATGGAATGAGGACTATAAAGAATCAGGCGTTTTTTATTAAGTTGCCATCTATAAACCTATCGACTATTTTTCTTCTATTACCTACACCAAGCACCCAGTAAATTCAACTCGTATTTAGCTTTGACACTTTAATGTCAACCTATCTCATCTGCTTTATAAACAACTTCAGAAAGAATTAACTTCGTCCTTCTTTCCTCTTTTATAATCTTATTCGTCTTAAAGAATTTGCCTCAAGGCATTCGTTTGTGGGTTCCAAAATTCATGACTGTGGGTTTAAACACAAGCTATCCTAATCTCCTCATCCAGTCGGAGGTTAAAAAATGGACAGGTGATTTACCGGTAGCTTACGTTGAGCTTTGTAAAATACAGAAAATTCGGCACACCTCAAGGTTTAACAACATTTGCACATGCACAGGTGGTGAACAAGCGAAGAGACAATTCACTGTGTTTGATGCAATTCCATTGTTCATAATTAAAATCTTTCAGATATTATTGCTGCAAGAGACCCGGTATCTCATTACTTGGATAGGTGGATGCATTTAGGCCAAGTTTAAGTGATTGGTTCCACTTTCGACTTAACTAGCGTCCGGAGTTACCTCCATTTCATTCTTCTTTTAGCTGTCATGGCATGACTGTTGATGCCAATGCTTTTGTGAATCCAAATAATTGAAGAGCTGAACACGAACTATGCTCGATGACTGCATAAATGCAAACAGGTTGCAACTACCTTTGCGTAGCTTAGTTGATTTCCATAAAATTGTTGAATATTTACTTTCTAAGGTGAAAATAAATTGCTACTATAATTGATTTGAATCCCAGCTTAATATCCGGTGCGTAGTAACAATGGCAGTGCTTACAAAAGACGCACCTCATCTGGTGCAGGTCTACTCATAGCTGCACATTTAATCCCGCAAAAGGAAATGCGTTTTAATCCGAGAATCACTCACTGCTGTTTATGGTTGGGCGGCTAAAAACTCATGCCTAATCTAAATGTCTTCATTTAAACAAACCGCTAGAGCCTGTTTATCATTGCGCAAGTAACACTAAATCCACTTTTGGTAAAATAATTTAGTATGGCCCAATGAACCCATGCCATGCTGAGATGGATTTGGTTATCTTAACGACGCCGTGCTTAATACCTCATCGTAGTTAAGCTTATGCTATGCTACTAAGAGTAAAGCAAAGCAAAGATGCTGATGTCTGACAATTCCTTCCTAGCTAATTATACACTTGCCTGGGCTCTAGTGCCTGCAGTCAAAGTCAAGAAGATGGTAAGTTTGTGACTGCACGTAAAACGACAAAACGGAAAATATGTAGCACAGCAGAAGCACAGTAACAAATTTAGAAGCACAATTTGCGATCAAAGTAATGGGCTGTCTACTTTGGATAAACAAACTTTACCTCAAAATACTCAATTTTCAAAATGCTGTTCTGATCCAGTATCAGCACCTCCACAGTGATTGCACATCAACAGAAATGCTAAGCATAACAAACCTTACTCTGGTGGCAGTGATGGAAAATCTCTAGATGATGTTAACTCTAATAAGCATCAATATCCATTCTCAAGCTGCTTCCAGATACTTTTTGCATTCTTTGCAGTGATTTGCTCTAGACGCGAGGTTTCACTTATCAATTAGAGCTAAAACGTACTTAAACAAAAAAAAGAAAAAGAAGAGGTGACACACAAAACTAAAAGGTCAATTTACAGAACAAGCAAAACAAGATGGCGGCCGACTTAGCGAGGAAGAAGCGTGAACTTGCCAACAAGGGCACATTACTCGTTTCATTTGGTCTAGTGTAACCAGATGTTGAAACGTCTTTGTGGACTTATTATTTGCACCACATGTTTTCTGTTCATTTATTTGGCTGCAGTCTCTCATGGGTGAGCTATACGACTTAAGGGAGTCACATTCACATGGCCTCAAATAAGTCAAGTTTCAATACGCATAACTTCTCCATCCCTGAGAACTTCACCACGATATCTACCATTACAGCTTTGATTGTAGGGATATAAATACAAAAATAGTCAACAAGGAATGGTTTCATTCCACCTGCACCAATCGTTCAGCAGTGCCTCCATTTTCGACTTCGACATCGTCATTCCTGCTGTTGCCGTCTTCGTGTCCAAATGTGACAGTGCATTTGTGTCTACCAACTAAATCCAACTTCTAATCGAGTGATTGGAAGAATGGGCGGGCGCACAGATAAATGCTTGAACTACTATCAAATGAACAAATGAAGTGGGGAAGACTTTCAATTCCCTCTCAATAAAGGTGAAAATGGAAGACGCTTTGCCTTTCCTTCGCCGACTAGCACCGCAATCATGTAAACTCGTAGACCAGTCGCCTCTGCACTCAGCTGGCTGAAATGAGGCAGATCGTTTGGTGGGTGTATTTCTAAGTTTGAGCGAAATGGCACGATTCAGACATTTGCAGTCGCTTGCAGAACATAGAGACAACTATTGGAGTGATCAAAATTAAATTCCACGCACCCTATGTCAACAGCCAGATATGTCTGATGGCAGGTAGCACCACAGCCATTGAAATGAAGAATATTTGACCAGGCAAAGCCTGGGAATGACAAGGGTTTCTGAGGGGGAGGAAGTGCAGAGCTTATTGCCAATCAGTAAGTGATGGAGAGGCAAATAACCGTCACCATTACTTTGTCTAAGGTATTAGGATTTTGAGTCCAAGAAGATTTCTGTCTTCTGGAACATGAAGGCAACATGGTGAGAAATGAGGACATGAGCCAAAATGTAAAGCGACTGCAAAGGACAAGCAATTTTGCACCCCAATTTAGACAGTCCCTGACGTACTACACCTCGAAGGTGTGGTTACCCACAAAGTATTTGGCATTCAGGAGGTGGTGGTACCACCAGAATCCTACAGTCATAGTTTAATTTCCTAAATTTGAGTCAGTACTCGAAAGTAACAGGAGCAGACCTTGCAAATGTCACTTTCTTAACAGACGGAGAAAGCCTTACTTCTCTTCTAGTTATTAAGGAAGTTGACTTATGTTGAAGTGAGTAAGAACGCCTTCATTTACCTTTCCTGAAAGTTTAATCCCTTGCTCTTGTCTATTTATTCACAAAATAAATCGCAGTGATTAGATAGGCAGGGAATTAAGGCAAGCATTTTTGAAGTTTGAAGGTTATGCAGAGAAAA